CAAATCTTGTGAAATTCTTGGGCCACGTCAATGAATTTGCATGAGCTTCTACGTTTTCTTCATTTGTTATTTTGGTGACATCAACTATCCTGATCTATTGTCAAGTGTTTCTAAAACCAAATTAATCCGAAGGGACAAGGTGGTGTATGTAATATGTTGTTAGATGCGCATAATTTGCTTTGTCGGCAGAATGTCCTCCGCACTATGCGTTACCTGTTCCAGAATAGCTCTATACAAGATTTTCTAGATATTGAATTGATAGAAAAAGAGCTGTAGAATGGTCAACAAGGTGCCCAGATCTGACGTTTGTGAATTTTTTGCAGATTCATTTAAACCTCGTAACAAAATATATGATGCGAATAATTGTTTTTTTTAAGTTGAAATATTTCAGCAGCTCTGTCGCAGTTAACCCCACATATCAATGGTGTGGAGAGGGGAGGGGGCGGGGCAGAAGGGCAGCAGATTTTAGGAAAAAATGACTTCCTTAGTAGTTTGTTTACATGCTGCTTCAGTAAATGCGAATTTTCTAACTTTCTTTGGTACCTTAGAACGTTCTTAGGCATTCTTTTCCATAATATATCCAATATCCATACACCGTTAGTTCTAATTGCTGCTTCATGCAAAACTTTGAGATTAAGATACACGATGAAGCGCAAGAGCTGATGGAGTAAATATGACATGGAACCATTACAAGGTTATTTTCATAACTCTAGAGAAACTAACAGAGACAGACGAAAGCTTAAACATACATTAATATGCAGGAACTCATTTTATTTTCTGTTTTTTTGCGCTTCTGGAAACCTATGTGCATTAAGTCAATGATGCCCAAAATTATTTGCGAATAAAAGAACTAAACTAAACGACCCTTCCAATCATATCTTCTCATGAAAATGTAGGATTTGACGTGGCTCTAAGTTAGGCAGATCGTCTTTCTCTATTGATGCTAAAAATATATACTTTGCAGACACTATTCCCAGAAAACGAGAGGAATCGGTAGATGTCGCGAAAACAAAATAGGAAGACGGTTATTTTCTTCGATAGATGAGGTAACACCATAGAAATTCACCTTTGCCGTTCTTGCTGCAACTAAGCGTTGACGACCTGGAATAATTATATATTATACAATCATTTGAGACAGAAATATAATTTTAAACTTATTTGGAAAATTTCCTGCATTATAAAAATTTCCAATGTGTTTATTGTAGCTACACGAATCTTGATTATTAAATAACATTTAATTTTAGAAATTGCTTGTAAATTACGAATGCCATTTAAAGAAAAAATATCACATAATTTCATAACAACATTAATAAGTACTTAGCAACCTAATATTAAAATAACATTTGCAAACAAATTAATGTGCTTTTTCCTGTTGTGGTCTTGTAAATTAGTTGATTTTACAGCTTTGAGCATTAAAGATTTTGTAGGGTTCTCTGACTGTTTTCATTGAAATTCCTAATTTATTAAATTAAATAGTGCTGTTTTGTTGAACATATTTAAATAAGTAAACTGTTATAATAAATTATTATGATAAATAATATTACCTAATAATTTTTAATAATAATAATAATAATAATATTAATCGTCTTTAGTTCCAGTACTTTAAAGTAAATACAATGAAATAATACATGAGTGATTTTGTGATTATTGACGATTTTCATTTGATTACAGTTAACAAAATTTTTTTTAAAATTATGTTTTTGATAAAAAAATTAGCTGGGCTCCATTTTTTTTTAATATCTACTTTCTATTGTCTTCTTTCATTAATTTGATTATAATTTACAAGATAAAGAGTATTTAGAATTTTTCAAGATATTATTTTTGTGTTTCCAATATGTTTCTGTTTTATATATCAGTATATTCCTTAAAAAGTGTTGTTGTTGAACATTTCGCTTCCGTAGATAATAATAAATGTTTTCGTATTGTTTTGCTCCTTCCCGTGTAGGGATTACAATTTTTTTTTAATTTTATGTTTTTAGTTTAACTCTTAAAAATAATGTAAGTGTAATAGAGGTTTCTTTCAATAATTTTCGATTTTATAAACTGTAGTGCGGTTAAAATTAATCAATTAATCTTGATAACAAAATAATTAATTAACGAATTTTTATTAGATTTATTAAAATATTCAAAAAATATACGGGGTGGGGTGTATGCAATTTGAAGTTTTATTACAGTAAAATATTTTATTTACTTATTCCGTTAATTTGAATGGAACACCCTCAATTTTATGGCACTATGAAAGAAATTTAATTCATTTTAAAATTTATATAAGGTCCCCTATACCTGTATCTACTATTTTTAGACATTTTTTTTTGGTGTCATCGGCCTCAACTGCTATGGTTATTAGCCTCGTGTTCTGCGTAGGCTTTGTTAATGTTTCCCAGCGCCACTTTAGAAACAGAACTGTTAATTAGTACCCAACAGTGAATGGTCGAGTGGGGAATCCTACCAAGGCATTAGAATTAATTTTTAATAATTAAATTAAATGAAAAAATCCCGACCAACGGTGGGATTCGAACCTGGGACCCTTGGATCCGCAGGCAGAGACTCTACCACTGAGCCACCCCTAATAAATAGTTTTATTTCATCAATAAATTTAAAGCAATTAAATAAACATATTTATTCTAAAATTTGTCAATTAATGTTTAAAATGATGTCCAATATTGTCATTCGCTTCTTATTTTTTTACATTACCAAAAATCTCTAAATCAATAACATCTACCTCATCACGAATGCGTGTTTTCATATTTTCGGCGATGGTTGGCTGAGTATGATAAACTAAACCTTTTACATATCACCATAAAAAAAATTAGTAGAACCTCTCCTCCCTATCCACTTTCTGGAAATTTTTAATTTAAATATATCCTGATAAGATGCTGCAGCCACATTTTTAGGCTAATATTCAAAGGATATTTAAAAGATTCCACAAATATTGCTTAAACATTTTATAAATTTTCTTTCAGTTAAATAGCCGTTAAAAAGTAGGACCTTACCATCGCCCTATCATTCCACCATAAACATTTAACGACCATGGTTTGTCGATCTACAATTCGAAATTCATGTTTTTTTTTTTCCATTTTGTAACAATGAAAATTGTGTGTATTCATAAATCCGTTTCATAAAAAATAAATATTTCAACCAATGACAATCCCCTTTTATTCCAGCTCACACCAATCAAAACAAACTGTATCTGAAAAAATTTTATGGTGCGGTGTTTTCACTTTATTACTGCGAAACGTCAAAGTGGAGTTTGTCAAAAAAGTGATGAAAAATGGACCAAACTCGTTTTGGTTGTTCAAATATAGGTTACATTGTAAATAAAGAATTAACATTTGCCTTGTGGAACAAGCGGGCGGACAGAATTGCTTCACCATCGGGGTGCTAGAAGCCCACCAAATGACCTTTTCCCAAAAATTGGGCATCTAGAGACACCTCTCGCCGACTTTATTAACCTGCAAGACTTTGACCTGAGAGACTGGCTATCCCTAGATATCCCCAGCCATAGCCAGCAGGTTTTTGATGAGTTGGTAACATGCAGGACTTTGATGAGCTGAGAAGATGGCTAACTCTAGACATCTCTGAGCGATAACCAGCAAATTTTTAACAAGTCTCCCTGAAGGATTCACAATAGGCCTATTGAGACATAAGTGCTGCTTAGCAACCCACCCTCCCTACCTTACAGAGAGAAAGAATCAACATCACTTTCGTCTTCATCAAACGAAAACAAAGCAAATGTTTATAAAAGTTCTGTTTATATTGTTAAATAATCCTACCAATTACCCTTGAAAAGTTTTTCATCTTCTCCTGTTTTTTCCAAAAACCATTGACAAAATTCTAACCTGTGTTAAAAACGATTTCATATTTTGATGCATCTGAATTTTAAATGGAAGATAAAAATGTTTTTGGCCACAATAATTCTTGTGCTTGTTTAAAAAAAATGTTGATTAGTTTCATCAGCCGTTGTGGGCCTATTTATGGTATGCTTTTTATAGACAATAGTGCCAGTTTCACATCTTCTTAAAATTAATTTAAAATCTTCTTTCCTGGAATGATTTTAGGAGGGACATCATACTGCATAAATTCTAGATGCCATCATACACTTTTCCAAATATTCCATAAGTATTAAAATCATGTTGATTCTCTTTTCTATTGAATACCTACTCCTTTATTTTGATCAATTCACAAAAAATTAAAAAACACGAGTTTGAAGAATTAAAAGTAAAGACAATTTCTGACGTTTTGAGAATTATAGCCTATGCAAGGAAACCACTACTAATAAGTAAGAAATTACTGAATAATGATATGGGAGACCTTTAACTTTTTCCTTATCCAAAGTTTATCGAAAATCGCTGAGGATATGAAAATAAGTTTTTTTGCGAATTTAAATACTGCAAATAAACATTTAAAACATACTATTTAATAACATTAGGCACTATTGATAATAAGTCTGAAAATATTAGGTATCGGTATGGGTTCCATTTAAATTAACACAATAACTAAAAAAAATATTTTACTGCAATATACTTCAATTGGCACATGAATGAATTATTTTGTAATCAAGATTTACCAATTCATTTCAACTTCACTACATTTTCAAAAAAAAAAGTATGAAAATAGGAAATGATCAAAAATTTTTATAAAACTAACATTATTTTTAAGAGTTGAACTTAAAATAAAAAAAAAAATTATATCGGTTTTCTGATTTGGGACATTCTGTATATATAAAAATAATTTTAAATTGTAGGTGCTATTGACTAGTATATCTATGCCAAAGAAATTTCTTTCATTTTCTTTTACTTAACGGAAAATTGTATTTAGGATTTTATACATTTTTTACAGTAATATAAAAAAATGTGTAGGCCCCAAAATGTTTTTAATTTAATATATCAGTGAATTCGTTATTAGTGTCTATTATTTGATTATAAATAGTTTTTATTATTATAAAAGTAAAGCCGTATTCAGAATTTTTGTACACATTTTTGAAAATAATATTTTTGCAGATATGCCGTCGAAACGACACGAGTCACAACCCTGTACGACTCAGTGGCGGCGGAGCTTCGCGCCAAACTGGGCAAAAAGAACTCTCCCATCCTTCTACCGCCCCGCGACTACGACACTGTCCACAGGACGAAGGGCAACCTCACGGGCATCGAATTGAGGCGGTGCCTCAATGCCAACATCGTCGGGCAAAACATCAAAGGCAGGAGGATAGAAAGCAGCGGGGGTAGTTCGGGAATCGGATCGGATCATCCCCCTAGTCCTGAGTCACCCGACGCCCCTGATTCCAGGTTTAACACGTTGGATAATCAGAGCACTAGTGGTAAGTTTATTTAAAATTATTAGAATTGATTTAAAATATACTAAAAAAAGTTTTTAACGATTTACATTTTTTAATGCTTTATCCGCATCACACCCTGTATATTTGAATGCATAAAAATCATTAGATATGCTCCCAATGTTTCGTAAGACGACAATCGATTTTTTTAAAGGACACAACAATGGAATTGTCGATTATCTAAGTACCTATAATTCTGATTCACAAAACAGATTGTTAATAATTTATAGTTGCATAACTGACTTCCATATGTATATTCCCGCATTTAAATAAGGCTCAGTGGTTGTAAGTAATATCTAGAATCTACGATTCAAATATTTAACTGAATCATTCTAAACAGTAAGATGCTAAAAATACTTTTTTACGACTTTTATCAAAAAGATGTTTCGAATTTATATTAGAGAAAATACATGACAATGTGTAGTTCGTAGAAAAAGTTTTGTATGTTATTTTAGTCACTTGTAAAATGATATACAATTTTATTTTAATCTCGTATTTTATGGACTTAAGTACCACTTTTATGACTATATGAGTTTTACTAAAATAGTATTAATTTTATCCGCTAGATAGAGCAGACGACGACTAAAATCGGATAAGTAAGATATTCTAAGAAAACACATTTATATTTCAACAGTAAAAATTCCTTAAAATTATATAAAAAAAAAAGTTTTCCTTTGTAGCCTGTTAGACAAAATAGATTTTTAAATTTTCAAGATTTTGTTGTCGTAGATGCTACAAAATTATACAAATTTATAGTTATCTCGGTTTGATACTCTAAAAAAAAGTGTTTACATATTTATAATTATATAGGACAAAAATGTATTCTCGATTATTGTTAGGCATAAACTTATGGATTCCAATGATTTTTAAATCATAATTATATCATAATATATGTTACAAGTGAGATAATTATTAAAAAAACTAAGATCATGTAACCATTTGTCTGGCTACCAGTAGTTCCCACGGCATTCTTTTTTTTCTTCCGACCTAATTCATTCTTATAAACATACATCGGAAAGAGCAGTTCACTATTCAGCTAAGTGACTATCGGTTATAAAATGGATGATAAAATACCAACGACGAAAAACTACAGTTCATCAAATTTCTAGAGGTGTTCGACGCCCAGACAGAGAACGCGCTACGTGTGACTAAGATAGCTATTGTACAGTCTGCTAAACAAGTTATTTTAAATAGTTTTTAATATTTTTAGGTAATTAAATTTTAAAAGTGTGGAATAGTTTAGGGATTAAATTGGTCTGATTGGACTTTCTTAGAACGTTTTTAAAAGAAGCTAAAGATAGTATGTAGAATTGAAAATAATTATTATGCCATAAAAAGTGTTTTGGAATTCCTTCAACCTTTTGAAATTGAGTCAGAAAATATAAATTTTATAGGATAGCGGAAAATACCTATAATTTTTTTGTAGGCCTTTGTAAATCGTGGAAATAGTTTATATTTTATTTCTACCTTATTAAGGAAAATGGTACCTATTATTAATAACGGTTGTTTCTGAAACATTACTAAAATTTTCGAAATTTTGTTTTTCTACAAAATAATAAACTATACTATTTAGAAAAAAATTTATTTCTCTTATAATTTTATAAAAAATAACAGGGGAATATTTACATTTCTTGATCTATTAAACAAAACGATAAATTATCTCGACGAATGACACCATGTTCTAGTACGGAAGCTAGCTTTACATTTTTGTTGGTGGTTTCATGGGTTTCATATCAATTTTTTGTAATTGTAGTTTACACGTACATATACCTCTTAACACTTGTTTGCTTTATTAAAAAAGTGTGTTGTTGTGATTTACGTCGAAATAAGTCAAAAACAACTTGAAACCCCATATAAAATCAAAAAGGAGAAACGGAAAAAAATTGAGCCTGTAAATGAGCACAACTCAGAAACAAAAATAGCTATCTAATAATAAAAAAATAAAATTTGATTCTTGTGCAGCTTCATCTATATCATTAACTGTTTTTGGTTTTTTAATGGTTTTTCTTGGTGATGAAAATTCCGATATCTCACGGTTATCGATTCTTTTTTTCTCTCCAGAAATGCGGACGACAGTGTTTTTAGATACTCCTGTGGCTGCAGCAACACGATCATTTACATTTTTAAATGGTATTGAAGGTGAATTAAAGTTTCCTTCTCTTCTCATAAACTCTATAACATTGGCTATTATTTCGCGAGATTGACTGTTAATCACGGGGCCTCTTAATTTGCTATTAAACTCCATACTTAGGTTCTATTAAACTGTAATGAGCAAAAAACACAAAAGAAAATAAAAGAAATGTTTTAGCGAAATTTACATCTGACATTTACGTCTGAATGAAATAGTGAAATACTTAATGCGCAGAGTGTACTTTCATTGCGTAAATCCGTCGGGATGCCTGTCAGTAGTGCTTTCTCTGTCTAGCCGTCGAAAGCCTCTAGAAATTTGATGAACAGTACTAGATTAATCCATTCATTAAGCCCTTTTTTGCAATTATTCAGAGTGTTTTTAATACTACGCAGACATAGCTGTTGTATCGGCAGCGGTATTAGCAAAAAGGAGATAGCTGCTAATTTGAGTAGAGATGGTTTGTGCGAGTATGTTTATCCAAGGATCGAGCATGCACTGAATGAATCAGTATTTACGTCTACTACGCTTGGTTTACTTTATCTTTATCTTTATGGGTTGTAAGCAGGTAGGGTTAGGTTTGGCCCAGAACACTGCGGCCTCTTGGGTCTATTGTATTCCCCTGCTTTCTCAGTATTCAGGTACTATCTTTGGAATAGTCCTGTGTCTTTGGTTAGTTTTAATAGGTTCCCTACCAAGTGTTCCTGGGGCGTTCTTTCCGATCCCATATTTAATATAGAATTATTTACTTTATGTGTTATTCTGGTATGTTTTATATGTCCCAGTGGGTTCCAGTTGTTGGAGATTTCCAGTCTGTATGCACTCACTCTGGCCTCCCCCTTTATGACTAGGTCAAGGGGTGGGATGTTTAGAATGATTTCCATAGAGGCTGTCGGTGTACTTCTCAGTGCTCCTGTAATACAAAGGCAAGCCAGCCTCTGTTCTCCTGGGAGGGCTGTTTTCTGGTTTACTTTTGGCCACCAAACAACCACTCCATAAGTTATCATGGCTCTTGTTATTGCCAAATATAGCAAGTGGACCATTTTTGGTTTTAATCCCCATGTTTTTCCAAACACTCGTGTTGGTTCCAAGTAAGTTTGCTATCTAGGATTAGACCCAGATATTTTACTTGGTTCGTTTTGTTTAACTTTCCTAACAGAGTCGGAGTTTCTAAAACCTCCAACCTTGTTTTCCGAGTAAAGGTTATGAGTTGTGCCTTGTCAGGGTATATCAAGAGGTTTTCCCTAACGCACCACATTTCTGTCAGCCTAAGAGCTCTTTGCATGGGTTCAAAGACTGTGGTTTGGTGTTTTTCTCAGAAAAGGATGACTATGTCATCGGCATATCCTTGGGCGTATAGCCCTTGAATGTTTAGTGTTTTCAGCAGTTCATCTGCCACTAGGTTCCACAGTAGAGGAGAAAGGACTCCACCCTGTGGGCATCCCCTGTGGATATTCACCTGCATGGTTTCACTGAACATTTGTGCCTGTACTTGCCGTCCGCATAATATGTCTTCTATCCACCAGCAGATTGTGTCTTCTATTCCATGTTTGCGAGCGGCAGCTACCATTGATTTAAAGGAGGTATTATCAAAAGCTCCTTCTATGTCAAGAAATTGGCTACTGAGTCCTCCCTCTATCTTGGTTACAAGATGATGCAGACCAAACTCACTGATAGGCATGTTGGTTTGTATGAAATGACCTCTCTATCAGAGTGGTTTGCCGGATATGCTGATCAATCAGTTTTTCCAATCCTTTCAATAGAAATGACGTCAGAGTTATTGGTCTATAGGCCTTTGCCACGACATACGTTCGACGCCCCGGTTTAGGTATGAAGACAACTCTGCTTTGTTTCCAGGTATTTATATATTTATATATTTATGTACCAAACTTGCCCTGTAGAGCCTACAAATATGCGGGGCCAACGTTTCTATTGCCTGTTGCAAAAGCACAGACAGTACTCCATCTGGTCCTAGTTGGTCTGCAACTTCATCTATATCATTTTTAGTATTAAGAGTTATTTTAACGGTTTTTAACACTGACCCCAGCTCCACTCCGTATCCAAACCAATCGGTTTTATGTGGGTCTCGGTATTACATCTCCTGGTTTATCGACGTTGTCGATTTCCATGAGAATATGGCGATGATCTGAGAGCGAAGGCTCTCTAGACACGTACCACTTGCCAATGTGATTAGAAACGAAGGAAGAACCAAGGGTAATATCAATAACCTCGCTCCGTCTACTGGTTACAAAAGTAGGTTCGTTTCCACGATTCAATACTCCCAGGTTAGTGGTTCAAGTAAAGACTCGCCTCTTTTGTTGTTGTTGTTGTTGTTGCTCCATGTTATATGATAGTTTGTCAACTAAGCCTGGAATTACCAACGCATACCTTTTTGAGATGAGCAAAATAGAATTTGGTCATCTTTGCCAACAATTTGCAAAAATGTACACCATTAAATTATTTATAAAACTCAAAATTTTTTATACTCTTAAATATGCAAACAGAGATTTGAAATCCTCGAAAAAGTCAGACAAAACCAAAAGAAAAATTAAAATTTTGTCCCATTTATAAATATTATTGATTTTTTTTCATCATATTTTTGACTGCTTTATAAAAAAAAGTAATTTTTCTTTGTAGTTTTATTTCTTAACTATTCTAATGGTCCAACTAACGTTTTTTTCGTAATCACAATAAATACATTATTAATTATTATCATGGTCCAACAAACGCGCACCTTAAGCCAAAACCGGCATCGCCTTTGTGAGGGAGCCGGTAAAGATGCCGCTACGTACATTCGTATCTGGTCTAGTACAGTATATCACGATAAGGACAGCGCCCCGCTTGTGACGTATAATCC